GTTAGATGAAGTTCATTTAAGAAATACAAGTGCTTCAGGCCAGGGTCTTAGCTCAGTGGCACAGAGCCTGCCTGCCAAGAACAAGGTCCTAAATTTAAACCCCGGTACAAAAAAAAAAAAAATACAAGTGCTTCTTCTTCTGTACTAAATACTACTCTGTGTTAAATATTACACTAAACATACTAGGAATAAAGAAGTAAATAAAATAAACACGTTTCTTGTCTTGTGCAAACAAATAACAAAGACAGATACTTCTAAAGTTGTAATCATATAGATACATAATTACAAACTGTGATTGCTATGGCAGTAGAAATTACTAATTGGCCCTAGTATTTACATCTTGTTTATAACTTAGGAACAGTCCCTGAATTTTGTCTGGCCAGCAATAAACTACGTCTCCCAGCCTTCCTTGTTCCTGATTGAGGCCATGTGGCTAAATTCACGTCAATGGGCTCTAACTGGAAGTGGTATATGAAACTTCCAGTAACTGTCCTTAAAAATGAAAGGATGGCTCTTAGTTGTGTTCTCCCTTTTTACCAGATGGAGCTGCTCTTTTGGACTATGGTATGGAAGCTTCATGCTGAGAATGGCAAACCAGCAGAATAGGAGGAGCCTGGGCTCCCTCACACTGGGGAACCATTCACCAGGCCTAGGCTACCTACAAAGCTTTCAGATGAGAGAAATAACAGTTTACCTAAACACCCATCTTTATTTTGGGGTTTCAGGGATTCAGACCTGAATCTAATTCTTTTTTTTTTGGACCGGGGATTGAACTCGGAATCTTGTGCTTGCCAGGCAGGCAGTGGAACCACTGAGCTAAATCCCTGACCCCTGAATCTAATTCTCAATGGTATAACTATGAAGGAAAAATGAAGGATTCAATGAAATACTATGACAGAAACAGTTGATTTTGACTGGACAAAGGGGTTTCAGGGATGGCTCCTCTGACATAACAAACTTAAACTGCAAGGTGAAACCTACCAAGTGAAGGGAGGTAGGGTGACAAACTATTTACAGGAAAAGCCAAAGATATAATTTTGATGACATCTACTTTAGGATGTTAAGATCGCCTCTTGGGCTGGGGTACACCTCAGTGGCAGAGCACTTGCCTAGCATGCATGAGGCCCTGGGTTCTAACCCTAGTACCATAAAACAGAAAGAAGGGCAAGGGAGGGAAGGGAGGCACAAAGAAAAATGTCTCTAAGGAACTAGAATTAAGCAGAGCACTAATGCAACTAAGTGTTTTGGCTCCAATATCAGAATCTCTCTATTATGACAAGAAAAGGACCACATATACTTATCAAAAATGAAGAGATGGGGGGCCGGGGATTTAGCTCAGTGGTTTTGCTGCTTGTCTCGCAAGCGCAAGGACCAGAGTTCGATCCCCGGTACCAAAAAAAAAAAAAGAGATGGGGAAGTGCAGAATTAAAAAAAAAAAAACCTGTTAAGGAAATTAATAGTTCAGTCCATACTTTAAATTTACCACTATTTAAAACAATTTAATTCTTTGACTAGAATGGTTTGTGTATCATGAGGGTATGTCATACGATTTTTTTTTTTTGGTACTGGGGATTGAACTCAGGTCCTTGCGCTTGCGCAGCAGGCAGTGAAACCACTGAGCTAAATCCCCGGCCCGCCATATGATTTTTAAATGTTAACTAGCCCTGGCACAGAAAAGAGGTTTTTGTTAAATTTTTAAAAAAATAATGTTTCATGTTTTTTTTCTGATTCTAAAAGCAAAACATACTTTGGAAGGTTTAAAAAATATACATAAGAGGGCCGGGGATTTAGCTCAGTGGCATCACACCTGCTTCACAAGCACAAAGTCCTGAGTTCGATCCCCAGTACAAAAAAAAGAAAAGATAACGTAAGCATATTCAAGGACAAAAAAAACCCTATAAAATCACCAACATTTTATACTAACAGTTTTTATACATATTTACGTGTTCATATACACACATAGATAGAACAAACAAAAATGGGATTACAATGAATAAAATACAACTCCATGTTGGGGCCGGGGATTTAGCTCAGTGGTTTTGCCACCTGCTGCACAAGCGCAAGGACCTGAGTTCTATCCCCGGTACCAAAAAAAAAAAAAAATACAACTGCATGTGCCTTTTTACTTATTTTATCAGGAACACATTCCTGTATCATTACATATTGTTCTAAACCATGATTTTTAATGGCTATACAACACATAGTTTACTTAGCCAATCAAGGCTGAGGATTTTCTGAAAACTGTCAACCACAAACTAAAGTCCTCTAGGTCAGCCTCAATATCCACCTGAGAGCTTCTACTTTAAAAATCTCAAGTTACAGCTGGGCGTGGTAGGGCACACCTGTAACCCCAGCACTCAGGAGACAGAGCCAGGAGGACTGCCACCGAGTTCGAAGCGAGCCTGGGCTACATAGTGAATTCAGGGCCTGCCTGAACTACAAAAGGAGATCCTGCCTCAGAAAAAAGAAAAAAAAAAAAAAGAAATCTCAAGTTAGTCTGAAAGCACTAGAATCTTCCAACCAAGAATTCAGTGAAATTCACTGGGCTTTAGCCATGATAGATGGTAAGGACTGTATTTTCCCAAATAGAGTGCATCATTATGTAATTAGTCTTAGGAAGAAAATGAGTGCAAATCAGAGATTGAGGTAGTAATAATGACTAAGAACTAATAATTGCCAACTGTAAGATATAGTGGCTATTTGTCATGTTTTATTTTTTTAATAAACCAAAATAAGTAAATATATAGACCTATTACTTGTATAATTAAGCTTTCAAATGGAGATAAATGCATACAGAAAAAGGGAAGCAAGTATGACAAAGGGTTAATAGTTTTTAATTCTAGAATATGACATTATCTCTCATAATTTTCTACATTTTAAATTTTTCTCACAACAAAAAACTAATGCTAAATTAAAAGATTAGTCATGTAAGATAATTCATATTTTAGTTATTAAAGTGGATGTAAAATCAGTAGGTTTTGCCAGAGGCTATCTTTTTGAAAAGGAAAAACAAAAAGCTGGGCATGAAACATTAGGAATTTGTTCTAAAATAAAACTACTTAAAACTATAGTTTAATTAGCAATAGTAATGTTTCATGTTGGAAATAAGCCTGAGGAATGATCACCTTTTAAACTTTATAGCTATGCTTCTTTCAAATACTATTCTACTTAAACATGATTATTTTCCTATTTCATCAAAAAAGCTATTTTAACAATTAAGCAAATAATATAAATCCTGTAAAACTGCATTTCAGCTTCTGACTCCAATTTTCTTTACTTTATATACCTAAAATTTTCCTGTTAGATTTTTTTTTAATTCCAACCTCCAAAATCCAAACTTAGTTGACAACTGAGTTTGCCACCTGATGAAATGTCTTACTGAACACAGTTACAATTTTCTCAACTGAGATCCTTAGCAGAAAAAAAAATAAAACATTACAGAATAAACCCAAATCTTCACATTAATTTTCACCAACAAAAATTTAAAATAAATGCAGATTTTTCTTTAGTTGTCCCATTTTCCCAAAATGTAGCCCTAGGTTGTCTTAACTTTGCAATCCTCCACCCTCTAATTCCACTAATCAGTTCTCACCTTCCTTCCCTGCTAGAACACGTGAATTTCTCAGCGAAAGTGACTCACTTACTGGCATCATGTCAAACTAACCCTGAAACTACAAGGAGGCTCAGTGCTAACAGAATTCTTAAGCTAGAACACTTTCACTAGCACACATTATCAGGTCCCTAGAATTGAATCACATTCAGAGCCAAGTACATGCTAACAACCTCGTATATATCTTCCCTTACAAACTGTTCTTCATTATCCCACCCCCTCCTAATTTTAGATTGGCAATTCCCTAATCTAAAATACCCCCTATCGGTGGAGAAAACAAGATAGCAAACCATAAGAATAGGAAGAGGGGTTAAAAAGTAGTTGTTCACTCAGCTTGGAAGATTTAATTCATTAACTTATCTATTCCACATAATTCTCCAAGTTTCTCCCCTCAGTTAAAAGAAAACAGAATACAGACACAATCATAAATGTCTAGGAATAAATTACTCATTGCTATTATTGCACTAAATAAAAGCTTTTAAAAACCACACAAAATCAGTTATTGAAAACTATTTCAACAAAAAATCTTCAATAAGATATCACTCCTATAAACTATCAACTGTAAATCAATTTATCCTTTTGGTTCACACATTTACCTTTGTAAAGTTTGGTTCACACATTTACTCCAAGATAGAAAATGTTCTTTTTAACCAGAGGGAAAGTGGTGTGGAAGGAACAACAAAAAAATGCTTTATCAGATTACCATAGACATTTACTTAGAGCTCTATCAATTGTCACACTCCACCTGGTGGCAGGAGCTGCCTGGACTGATGAAGCAGAGGTCATTATACAAAATAATTCCAAACAATACTTTCCAGATGTCCTGGGAAAAAAGCAAGATGCTCTTCTCTTGGCCTACCTGGAATAAGTCTATCAAGTTTCCACTCAAGTTTTTTCACATCATAGTAGGTCAATATCTACCAAAGATTAATGTAAAAGTATGACAATATTTAGAATGAGAGACCTACATTTAGAGATACACTTAACAACTGTTCTCTCCACAGTAAGTTAAATGTCAGCTTGAGCTTTTAAACAGGTAACAAGACACCTACAGCAGCTACAGGATTTTCTACCACACACTCCTACTAACTTTCTTTACCCCTTCCCCTATGGGTAAACTAGAGTTTAATTAACACAGTTAACGGCAGCCTGCCACATTGCTTTTAGATATCTGCCAGTAACATATACCCATGGGATACTCTACAGACTGATTTCCACCAAAAATAAAAATAGATAAACAGAGCTCAAGTAAAATTAAAAACGAGTCTGGCTGCCCACACTTATTTTCACACATGAGGGAAAGAAAAATAGCAGTTCTTTTAGAAGCCTCGAGCAGACATATCTTTAGAACACAATGTTAAAAATATGCCCCCCCATCCCATTCCCCTACCTGTTTCTCACTCAAAGCTGTGATTTTGGCTTGGAGTTCATGAAGCTGTTTCTTTAAGTCAGCATTCTGATTGGAAAGAAAAAATATCTGTGAGAAAGATATTCATTTGTTAACAGAATAGTAGCAAGAAGACTATGCATACTGTAATTACAAATGATGAAGCAACCTTAAGCACTTAGCCAATGAAATTTGCCATGCATTAAATCATAATCATAACATCACCCCCTAATGCATAAATCCTAAATGTGGGCTCCTAAACCTCGAATAGGAACAGCTTCTTTGTAACTGTTTTACATTATAAGTTTTATATTTTAGCATCTTATATTATAATAGTACCTTACTACTAAAATATTGTTATTCTTTATAGAAAGTATAAATTGACACAAAAGCTCCATTAATCGGGCAAAAACAGATAAATGGAGGCAGTAAGTATGCATACACTGGATGCTTAGTGGCATTATCAGCAAAGATAAGAGGTTTTCCCTACTGTCTTCTTCCCTGTTTAGTAAAGTACATTTGTTAGCCTAGATTTGAAAAGCTGTCAGTACTGTAACTGCCTTAATGCTGCATCATTCAAATGAACACACTGACGAGGGCATTTCTCAGTTCTAAAATTCTAGGAATCAAAAGAAGAACACTATATTCGATGAGATACACTGAACTTGATTGTTACTCAAGTGGGGGAAATGAAAAATTAACGTTTTCAGATGCTTAACGCAGCAAAAGAGCCTAATAGACTGAACACCAATGAGAACACACTTTTACTTCATCATACACTTTCACACACAGTCCTTTGAATTATCTTGTCTGGTCTTCTCTCAGGGTTGGGGCACACATCCTCCCCCTCTACTAAGTTTCAAGTTTACTTCATTTGTACTTTTAAAAATGTGTTTATTGTAAGTCTTCTCTACTAAGGTCACCTATAATGCTTTCAAACAAGTTACTGCCCCTCAGGTTCTCCAGGTTAAGACTGTTCTGTCACATGATCACCAACTGTATCACAAATGCTAGCTTCTAATAGTACTTCAATTGCTGAAAATGTAGGTAAATATGACAGCGCAAGTGTGTGACAGAGAAAGTAGGCTCTATTGCCTCTTGGTTCCCTAAATCCAATTTAAGTTGTAAATATACTCAAAAATAAAAATAAAGTTTCTCATGGGAGTTGAACAGGCCTAAATGTGGGCTATCAATGCCAGCTCTCAGAATCCACGGATTGCGTTGAAACATGATAGTCAGATCACTAAATCCTAAATTTGTAGGAATGAATATTATTTTCCACTTTCAAAAATCAACATCTCAGTACCATTGTTTAAGGATTTATTTTTTTATTTTGCAAAGAGGTATGTATGACCAAATGCCTAATGGGTGCAAAGGAGACAATGCCTGAATAATAAATATAAATCCTTGGAAAACAAGATCACTTTTTGGTAAGAGGTCTCTTCAGAAATAGAGAATAAAATGCCGAAAGTTCAAAATCTTATGAACATTTAAACAAAAGTTAACATTTCATGGAATATTATACTATATAAGGTATTTCTAAAACTCTCTTTAAGGGTTCTTTAAAAAATAAAATTTTCGGGGCCGGGGATTTAGCTCAGTGGTTTCGCCGCCTGCTGCGCAAGCACAAGGACCCGAGTTCGATCCTCGGTACCAAAAAATAAATAAATAAATAAATAAAATTTTCAGTCTGGGGATTTAGCTCAGTGGTTCCAGCACCTGCCTCGCAAGCGCAAGGTCCCGAGTTCAATCCCTGGTACCAAAAATAAAAAATAAAAATAAATAAAATTTTCTAAAATGCCTTTAAAAATTATTCTAAAATTCTTACCCTAAACATAGTAAACATCAATATTCAATCTATACTATAAGCTCCTAGTAACAATGGTTTAGGGCTACTTTCAATAATCCTGAGACCAAAGAAAGTGGTCTTACAATCTCTGATATTGAATAAACGGGTTTATGGAAATGCAATTTAAGTTATATTAAAAGTATTAACCCTCAAAATACTCAAAGCAATTAACATAAAAGCCAAATAATAGTAGCGAAGATAAAATTATAGTTACATTATAATAGAATTACTGGATTTTTTTCTAAACCCATAAAACATGAAGACCAAAGAGCTAAAAATATTTCCTGTCAGTATGAAATAGCTCTTTAAATGTAAGTATCATCTACACTTTAATATTTTATGGTCATTTTATTTTACTTTTTTAAATTTAAAAATTAAATGAATAAAAATAGTATTTTACCTGTGGATCCTGCTTCATTTGAGCAACTAGTTTCTGGCAATAAAGAGAGAAAAGCAATCATCAGTCTTACATATCAACTTCCTATGGCTAATCAGATTTAGCCCAAAAAATCTAGGGTTTTAAATCGACACAAAAAAATGAACACTACCACAATGAGAATAGACCAATAAGCTTCTGTGATCCACGTAAAGGCTACTGAAGCACTCTTTTTAATAGAAAAAAAATCAAACTATCACTCTTTTTATATGAAATGAAAAAGTACCTGATTTTTACATGTGGAGAAGGGATGGGATACAGTGGCTTCCAAAAGTCAATTTAAGCAAGCTGGATATTCCAAAAGCCAAACAGCCCTTTAAAATACTGTCCCTGTCTAGAGTCCCAAGCCAGGCCTGGGAAGAATCTGCATCCATATAAAACCAGCTAGTTTGAATATAGCAAAACACAAATTTGGCAAGTTTGTTGGTTTGGTTCTTACAACAGAAGAAACCAAGTTTTAACATTTAACTTTGCCACTGTTCTCTCTCAAAGCAGGAGGGGACACAGGATAGGATATGTTTGGTGGGTAAGTGATACTCAGTATTTGAGAACAAGAAAGTGGAGCAACAATGCAAAACTCTACCTACCTGGGATCCTCTGGGAAAGAGAGTGCTACCCCAATACCCAATGAGAAAGACCTTTCAACAATCAAAAAGCAAGAATCAATGTCGTCTGACCTAACTCAACTTGTGAAAACACTGCTGTCAAAAGGTAACAACAACCAAGGATAGAAGAATTTGCAGAATAAAGTAATATCAGAAGGCTGATTTCTAATAGTGACTAGGAATAAGCTGTTTTCCAAGTGAATTCTCATATAATGGAAAAATCCGTCACTCTGCATGACAAAATACTTTTAAATTGTTTAGTTACAAAATAAAATCTTTCTATAATAAAGACCATACTTACCTACTTTATTAAATAGAAAAAAGTCAAGCTCCTATTGCTATTTGGAGGTACGACAGTATCGATTAATATACTGTAATATAAATAAGGTTCTTAGAATAAAAGGCCCAAAATTGCTGTTATGTCTTCATTTTAGCTTTACAGTTTACTCAATTTCAAGCAGTCAGCTACTCACTAACAGCCCTGAACCCCAACTCAAGGTTGCTGCTTTGATCTGCTACGTGATACACTTACTGCACTAATTTGAAGATGAGTGAACAGGTGATTAATAACCTAAAAATCCCACTTGAGTAAAATAATATAATCTTTGATGAATGACTTCCGATGTTTTTTTCTAATTGGAAAAAAGCCTTTCCTCCTGGTATAAGATACATTGTGCCAACCATGGGACCTCTCAACACACAAAGTCTAAGTCACTATATTCTACTTTATACTTGACATTGCTGTAGTCGCTCTTCTGTATCCTGGTCTGAATCTACACAGTAGTAATACACATTCCAAGAGTTCAACAGAACTGAAACACAAGGTTTTTATACATACATTTTTATAAATCTAATCTCTTCAATAAAAAAGCCTCTGATTTTCTTTTTTGATATGGTTACTAGAGAATTGGCTATTATACTAAAGTTAGCTTTTTGAAGCTGAAAGCGCTTTTCTTCCATGACAGTGAAATTTAAAAACTGATAATCACAGTAACTCTACACCTCTGTAGGAAATAAACCAACTTTTCTCTAGATAAGCAGTTAAACTGTATTTCCGATGAGCAAGGGTAGGACAGGACAAGCTGAGAAACTGACTGGACTGGTGCTGGCGAACCTATGGCACACATGCTGCGGTGGGCACACAGGGCCCTCTCTGCCCCAGCAGCTGAGCAATGGATAATAGTTGCTTTTTCTAAACTAAACCTCAGTGTTCAGGTTTAACTGCAGTGTTGGCACTTTGCAGTAAGTGGGTTTTGGTCACATTTTGAGCACTTGGTCTCTAAAAGGTTCACCATCATGGGACTAGACCATCCAAATCCCTAGTGACTTTAAACTAACATGTTGATCAAAGCTAAGTCACTTTCATAAATGCAGCCATTTTTCATGAAGATATACTTTATACCAACAATAAGCAAACACAGCCAATAGGCCAAATCTGGCCCACCACCAGTTTTTGTAAAGTTGTATGGAACACAGCCATACCCATTTGTTTATATATTGTCCATGGCTGATTTTTCTGTACCTCAGCAGAGCAGAGTAGCTGTGACAGACTATAAATGACCTGGAAAGCCTAAAATATTTTACCATCCGGCCCTTTTCAGAAAGTTTGTTAACCTATTTTACACTATGCTCCATTCCACATAGAATACTCTGAAAGCTTAGACCCCATCAAATTCACAATCAAAGAAAGAAAAGGGGAAAAGCAATTTTCTCCAAAAGATGACCTGTATTTTAATTTTTATTGAATATCAACTAAGTATGCATTGCTGTATCTCCCACTTAATATAAAGAAAACAGAACAAAAATATACTTTCACCACAGCAACACCAGTTAGTTCCAAAATACCACTTCTATCTAGTAAACTTGATTTCAGCCTAATTTTATTCTCTAACTAGAAATGCAACAAAGGCTTTATCCTTAATATTTAGTCAAGGGCTGGGGATTTAGCTCAGTGGTTCCGTTGCCTGCCTCGCAAACGCAAGGACCTGAGTTTGATCCCCAGTACCAAAAAAAAATATTTAGTCAAAAGTATGTTTGGCTTTGGTATCAGCCTAATAATCCCAATACTCTTAATGTCATTTTGGGCATGATCATGTATGTACCTCACAGCCAATCAAGACCACATCAGTTGTAAGAAGAAGGCATGTCGGGCCAGGGATTTAGCTCAGTGGTTTCGCCGCCTGCTGCACAAGTGCAAATGCAAAGACCCGAGTTCAATCCCCGGTACCAAAAAAAAAAAAAAGAAGAAGAAAGCATGTCATTTGGATTTACTGTTAACAGTTTTCAAAGTATTACATACATAAATGGAATGAAATATCTTACGTTTTATATGTTAAAATATTTTGGCATTTTTGACATCTACTAGATTTGCATAGAGCCCAGAGTTAGCATGGATGAGAACTTATAGGAAAGCTTTAAATATTTTGACATAGAAATAAATGTTTATTATTACATAAAGTATTGTATATGAATTAAAGATGAACACAAAATCTATTAAGTTTATGCTAAAAAAAACCCCCAGCTAAATATACATGGAAACAGACTGATAGTTTAGTATGAATATTGAGAGTTCAGGGTAAATTTATTTATTTATTTAATTTTTTGTTTTGGTGAGTGTGGTACCAGGGATTGAACTCAGGACCTTGCACTTTCAAGGCAGGCGAGGTGCCACTGAGCTAAATCATCAGCCGGTAAATTTAAAAAGAATACTGTATCCCATTTAAGTCAACAAATATAATTTTTAATTTTTAACTAGACTTAAAAACTGGAGATTAAATTTTTCTTAATTGTATTGTTTATAAATTTGGTATGCATGAATTCAAAATATAAAACAAAATAATACTGAAGAATTATATTTAATTTAGTAACTAAGTTCAATTTAGGTCATAAGTCTTTCAAGAAAAGTTTATTTGGGGCATGTCTGTATCTAGTGAGGAGAAACTAAAAGCATAATGTTAACCTGGCAATCTCAAAATTTCTTGAGAAGGAAAAACTACAAAAATCACACACAATATCAAAAAACTATCATTGTGGGCCAGGGATTTAGCTCAGTGGTTTCATTGCCTGCTGCGCAAGCGCAAGGACCTGAGTTCAATCCCTGGTACCAAAAAAAAAACAAAAAAAAAAACTATCATTGATACACAGAAATTTCAGACTAATTACTGTATTTCCAAAATTCATTCTATGATGTTGTCAGCCTTAAATAAATACTGAATTTAACTTTTGTTATTTGCCATTGAGATGAACTGGGTATTCAACACACTTCTATGTTAAAACACTTTCATCCAGGAAAAACATAAGCTTGTTTTTGTAAACAAATTTTTATTCTCTTCAGTTAATACTAAAATTAGGCCACATAAAATAAAACATGTACAAATTAAATATAATAAAAGAAGCCCACTTGTATAAGATACACTGCCTTTGAGGAAAGTTTAACAAGGTCCAAAGCAGTGGCAGGGATTTCTGCACATATAGATTTCATGTTTTTAAAATTATATTTTATATATAAATGTGGTGTGTGTGTGTATGCGTGCGTACATAAAACGCCTTTGAAGCTTTCCTATAAGTTTTCATCCATGTTAACTCTGGGCAATGTATAAATCTAGTAGATGTCAAAAATCTAAGCTATCTTCCAAGAACTTCAAAAATTAATGCTAAATTATTCAGATTAAAAAAAAGAAACTGTACTTAAGAACAAACAACTTTAAAAAGTAGCTCCCAAGGCCGGGATTTAGCTCAGTGGTTCCGCCACCTGCCTCACAAACGCAAGGTCCCAAGTTCATTCCCTGGTACCAACAAAACTTTAAAAAGTAGCTCCCAGATCAGAATGTAGCTGATAGGTAAACCACTGGTCTAGCATGTATAAATATAAAGCCCTGATTTCAATCGACAACATGGCCAAAACAAAAACCAAAAAAACAAGTAGTTTCCCTCTCTTGACTCCCATATCCCAAATTACTACACATTCAAATTTAAAATTAATCAGTTCATCATCATTTGAGTACCAAAGATTATGTGTGTATTTGTGTGTCTTAAGCCTAATAAATGCCCAAGCAATGTTAAAAAAAAGGCACAAAACAGTGTTTACACAATAAATGTTAATAATTTAATTATTTATGGATAGCTTTTGTCTTATGTTTATTATATATTCATATATCAATACATGAAATTATTTTATTAAGACAATGATTGCATGATAGAAACATATTACACAATTATAACAATTTATTTATATATACATTTTATAATTATATATTTTTTAAGTTTATTTAGGCACATAAGGTGAGTTAAGAATTATGAAATTTTAAAATGTAATATCCATGAAAGGAATCTTTATCAAAGATTGGGATCAAGGTCTAAATTGAGTCAAAAGATGAGTCAAGACTTTACTGTATACGGTGATACATGGTAGTTGAGCTAAACAAGTCTCACTATTTCAAACATGAGAGTTCTACCACATGAAAACAGTTCTTCAAGTGAATGCCCCCCACCAAGATAAGCAAAAAAAGAGGTGTTTTTTGTAATACCTCTGGGGGTTGGTGGTACTAGGGATTAAACTCCAAGGCATTCTACCACTGAGCTACATCCCCAACCTTTCTCCTGTTCTGAGCCAGGCTCTCCCTGGATGGCCCAGGATGGCCTGGGACATGAAGCTGTACAGCTGTATACCACCACACCCAGCTCCTGTTAAGGTCCTTAAAAGTAGTATCAGGGCATTAGTTGAATACCGATGAAAGGCAAATGACATGAATCCTGGACAACTGTCCTGAAGATGATTTGAAAATTGCACTAAATCCAGAAATGGGCCTGTTTACTAATTTTAGTTCTTTAATAACACAATGTGGGAGAAGCCAATAATGCAACATACCTGATGAACCTGAATTTCCACTTTAAGAGCCTCCTGGAGAGTTTGCAACTCCATTCTCTACCTTGTCCACTTTCTCTTATGTCTGCTAATTCTATAGTTTCTTCAGCTTCCGTTTAAAATAACAAACTCTTCTTGCTGCAGCTGTAGAGATCACAAAATGTTTTGGACCATTATATTAGGAATCAAGAAAATATTTGTGTTAAATAAGTTAGTCAAAAAATATTTGATTTTTTTTTTAACACGGGAAAAAAACCCCAGACTTTTTTCCGAAACAATTCAGTACCAAAACTTTTGGGGTTTCATTCTTTGAGTACCTGCCTACAGAACACTTCAAATAACTAAGAAAAGAAAAACAATAACAAGTCATGGTTATGAATACATCTAAGCAACCACTGCATGCTCAGCACCGTGCTGCATACTATGAAGAATCTACCTGGTGTGGTCTAATGAAATACGTTTCCTGCTTTACACCGGACATCACTATCTTCCCAAACCTGCCAGTGCATCTGCGGCTACGTATAAATGCGTATGGAGATAGTGTCAAAGTCTAATTTGTGACAATAAATACCGACACAAAACCTGACCAGTAGCACACTTTAAATTAAAGTGCTAATTTCTCCTTTAATTTTTTTCTTCTTTTCAATGTGAACTTAAACTGATTCTAGGAACTCTTCCAAAGCAAAAGCCTTTTATTGCTCAAATAAATTTAAAGTTTACCTCAAATCTCTTTTTTTCCCTATACTTGTAAAACTTGCTGCAACAGCAGCTTTTTGACATTAAGGCAAGAAACGACCACAAAGCCCTAAGAGCCACTGTGTTATACCAATACAATGAGAGTCAAAATGCTCTCATTTTCTAAAAATTTACTTCTAGATAAAGTACACATTTACTTAAGTTTTCAAAGTCCTCTGAAAACTGTTTTAACAGAGTTATAATGGAATCATTAACTACAGAATAAATTCTTATGAATATTAGTTTTCATTCTATTTGCTTAAAAGATGAGTGACAATCTTTCCTCTAGGGCTTATATGGTACACTGCATAATAACAAAATATTCTAACTCCAAAAAGAATAAACTCCCAAAAATTCCTTCAAAGTTAATTTGTGGAAGCTAGGAAAGATTTACTGTATATGATACTGTTAACCAAAAACTTTCATAATGATAGTATATTTAAGAGAATTTGGAGACAGAGAGACATATTCTGATGAACAAACCTGGGTATTTTGGCTATTTATATTTTTGAAATCTTTGAAACTATAATAAATAAATAACAGACTTACTGACTGACTTACACCAGATTTTGCTGTCATATAAGCTTACTCTACATGTAATTGCTGTTAAAATTACACAGTCCTTTTAATTTTAAACACTAATGTCCCTACACAAGTTCTTAACATATAATACAGTTCCTTTTGAAAACAGTATGAGGTTTTAATTTCTGAAAGATTCCACCAGAAAATGTGTCCAAAAATGATTACTTATAATTTACATTAAATTAAGAATCACCTGAAGTTGAAGAAATATTTTCAAAAACAGAAAGGCGGGCCGGGGATTTAGCTCAGTGTTGCCACCGCCTGCCTTGCAAGCGCAAGGTCCTGAGTTTGATCCCCAGTACCAAAAAACAAAACAAAACAAAAAACCAGAAAGGCATATTTTATTCTTTTTTTTTTTTTTTTTTGGTTTTTTGAGGCAGGGTCTCTCTTTGTAGTTCAGGATGGCCCTGAACTCATTATATAGCCCAGGCTGGCCTCAAACTCGCAGCGATCCTCCTGCCTCAGCCTTCCAAGTGTTAGGATTACAGGCATGAGCCACCACGCCCAGCAGGGATATTTTATTCTTCTGGTGTTCACCTATTATCACCACAGCTCAAGTGAACCCATAAAAGCTAAGGAAACAAATAATAGGTTAAAAACATGGAGAACTTACAATATACTTGACAAAGAGTTCATGTTGGGTCTCTCACAAATTATTAACAAAAATCTGTGGAAAAGTAATTCATGGAAATGGAAAAAACAATGACCAACACACGTGAAAAACATCTATCTTCAATAGCAATGGGAAATATACATTTTAAGAAGCTAAGTTTTGTCTATCAAACTGAAAACGTATAAAAATAACAATACTGTGAACTTCTAGAATTTGTGTTCAGTAACACTTTCGAATTTGTCAATGGTTATCAGTGGATGGTAACACTGGGAGTTATTTACACTATTTCTTCTTTCGGGGGGTAATGATATTGTCAAAATGTTGTGTAAAAATACCTGTTTCTTTTTAAATAGAAAAAAAAAGTTAAGTGAGGATGGATAGATAAAGCATCAGACAATTTTGTACTGATCAAGCAAAATGCTCAGGAAAAGAAAACGCAGAAGCAGGGTTTAACCTGGAGATTCTAAATGTCAAAGAGCGCCTTGCACGTTAATAAGCCCAAAACTCAAGTTAATGAGGAGCTGACAGTTTTCACTTGCTCCATCAGACTGTCGTCTGCTTATTAGAGACATACAAAGGCATGAAGTTTTATTTGGCAAGGACTCTAAATGCCAATTATCCATTTTATTTCAAAATAAAACTGAAGGGTTAAAAAAGGTAGTGATTATTTATAGAAAAACTTATTAAGGATTAGAACTTTCATTTAAAATCCTCCTTCTGGTGTTTGTTTGGCTGTTTATAGTACTAGGGATTGAGCCTAGCGATCTGTACATGTCTGGTAAAACATTCGACCGCTGAGCTACACTGCCAACCCAGAAAATTCTACTTCTGGATGGTGACTGTAAGAGACCAGTTTCTGCCTAAAGGAACAAATTAAAAACATGTATTTATAGTTTACAAAGGTAAGGCAAGAACATATTGGCTATTTTAAGAAACATTTTGGGACCTTAGACAACTCATGAAGCCATCATCTGAATACTATCTCAGGCAATTTATACCATCTAAAGCAGCATTATTTCTAAATCTGTGAAAATGACTTATTATATTTTGATCAATTTTAGTAAGTTATAAATAACCGTAAGAACTTACAAAACAATAGACACACTTTATTCAGGTATAATACCGTCTACCACGCAGTAGCTGCATGCCACCATCAAAACGGATACTTGCCTAGCATAACAGGCCAGTGTTTACACTCTTCTAAACCATACATATCAAGCCACCGGGCCTCATACCTCTAAATAACAAAACACAAAGCATAAAAGCTATACACACAAGCAAGGAAACAAATATCCTCATAAACCAAATAAAAGCAATAATCAAATCCCACTAAAAAGCTGAGTATGATGGTGAACGCTGGGAGGCTGAGGCAGGACAATTACATGTTCCAGCGCAGCCTGGGTAATTTGGCAACTTATGACCACCTCTTGATAAATAAAGGAAGGAGGGGACCAAGCAGGCAGGCAATATAGCTCCACATGAAGGTGCTGGGTTCAAGCCCCAATGCCAAAAAAAAAAACAACAAAAAAACACCCCTCACTAAAAAATGCAGTTGCACTATCTACACTTTGATCTTAGCCAAAAGGCCAAGAAGCAACTGCAGTTATGATAACTATGAAGAACATTTATTGTCCCCCAAAATGCAAACAAATAAAACCTACTTCACATTTCACTTAGTCACAATGTGACTACAGTACTCTCACCCTCAGAGGATGTTTGTTATGGGGAAACTAGTATCACCTACTTCATAGGACTGTTGTATGAAAGCCCCTTGGAAATTGTAAAGTTATGCTATTCCTACACAGTTAACTCTTCAAATTCTGTACTAAAACTTTGCGTTCAAACTCTGTAATAAAACTTCTCAACCTACCTCATCTTAGCAAGAGTGTAGGCTATGCTATTCTCAGTCTCTAAAGGAGGAGGGCTTTAAGTACGTTTCTGAATAGTTTTGCCTGGAGATATGTCATGTCAAGGTCTTTTACTGATTATGATAATTTGGAGGAAAACCATTAATTCTGGTTTTACTGCTAAGAAATATTTTGCTTTGTTACTAAGTTGACACAAACCTTGCTCCTCAAAATTCTACTGGATAGGGGCTGGGGATTTAGCTCAGTGGTTTCGCCGCCTGCCTTGCAAGCACAAGGACCCAAGTATGATCCCCGGTACCAAAAAAAAAAAACTCTACTGGATAACCAAGTCACTTTAACTAACAGTTAAGTATGTAGCAGACTGTACCTCCGACTGTTCCTAAAAACAGCTTGCCAGTCTCTATACCAATTCTTTGTCGTAAAATCCCTCTGTCCATATTCTCAGACACGTTTAAAGAAGGCCTAATCGTTTTTAAGTAGGAAAAAGTGAAGTCATGACAGATCTATGTATCCTTATATCTTGTCCAAAGACTGATATTCAAACACCAGGTTTCATTCTGTGCAAAATATTCCCTTTTTTTTCAAGTTTTTATATTTATTAGTACACCTTCGCAGAATATTTCGTGGGGCTGGGGGTGATAGGGCTCGAACTCAGGACCTAATGCCTTCCAGGTAGGCACTGCGCTGCTGCGCTACATCCTTGGCCCCAGAATATTTCTTAAATCTGTATCTAGCATACAATGAGACAAAACTAGTGGTTCTAAAAAATTACCATGGATGCTAAAAATAATACAATGATTTTATACTTATTGAAGAAGTTAACCTTTATTAACATGAATCAAATGACATTTAAAAACTTACTGTTCTCTTATTGTTTAGGAAATTTTCAACACACCCTGCCTTGTTTTCATGATGGTATTTCTTTGGTGACATGTCACAGATTAACAGAAAATGCTCCTCCATGAGAGCCCAGCAGCCCCCTAATGTTAGAGGCCAACCCCCCTTTGAATCTGGTAAGGTTATTATGCTCAAACCCTGGTATGACAGCTATTAACAAAAATCACCACAGCTAGTTAGATATTTCCAAACTCTTAAATAGTTAATGCTGTACGATAGTATCTATCTTCCCCTTGTCTGTTCGGATTTGGGAGGATAGGGCAGGTCCTCATTTTTCCGAAAAGGAACACCTACATGGTCCAGGGCTCCGTGGTGCTCCTCCAAGGGTCTGCAGCAGCGGTCTCCATCTCTCCCTCCCTGCTAGTGTTCACCCAAAACAGTTTCACCCTCAGCTTCTGGGGCCCAGGCTGTCTGCATACATGAATTCTTCTACTTCCCAATCAAGCATGTCCACTGAAACTGTCTGAACCACACTGAACAAGTTGAATGCTGAATTAAAGGCTTACATTTATAGAAATTCAAAATGAAGGAGGCTGAGAGTAAAGTATAAAACAGCATAGTGACAATGAGACTAAGATTTTAGAACTAGCTGCCACATTTACCAGAATGTTAATGATTTTAAAAAGTAAAAAGGTATCTAGACAAGCCTGGCCAGAATGTTATAAATATATACCACACAAAGGATAACACAGGAGGGCATGGTGGTCTCAGCATAACCAATAAATACATAATAGAACTTATGGGAGATAGATTTCAAATCAATTAAGGAAGAACTAAGGATTAGAGCTGTACAAAAAAGGAATGGGTTACCTTATGAGGTAGTGGGCTCCCTGTCATTAGAAGTATTCAAGAATGCTGCATATCATATCCCCCTCTTGGAGATTCACAATGCACATTAGCATATTAAAGGTTCTGAGAAGTCCTGCAGTAAAGAAACCTGTTTAACTTTGTTTAACACAGTGTTTCCCAAATTATTTGACCACAGAACCCTTCTCCCACCCCAGCCCACCTTGGTAATATTTATTCAGTTTCTGTGGAACTAGAGTTTCTCAGAATACATTACAGAAAATAATTACCTAATTTTTTAAAGGTAGTGATCAATATGTACCTAAGTAAATAACAACTTGTCAGGGATATACAAAAAGAAACTGCCACACAAGATAGAAGGCTGGATTAAAAAGGCCCTTAAATTCCCTTAAGATTCTATGATTCTAACACACCACAGAGTAAAAGGGCTATAGTATCTTGTTTATTTATTTTAAAAGGTTCCATAAGAGAAAGGCCAGTAGAATTAAAAAGTAAAATGCAGCTAGCCAGTTCAAATGTCTTCCTTTCATGTTCAAAGCCCAACCGCTAAAAAGGTAAGAGAGACACCTCAAGGACTATTAATTATCAAAAAGAAACCTTGGGCCGGGAATTTAGCTCAGTGGTTTCGCCACCTGCTGCACAAGCGCAAGGACCCAAGTTTGATCCCTGGTACCAAAAAAAAAAAAAAAAAAAAAAAAAGAAACCTTAACCAAATACCTACTGTACCTACCCTATTACATTAATTTAATTTCTATTTGAGAGAGAGAATTTTTTAAAAAGCACTCTTGCATTAGAGGAGTACACTATTCCAGCTATCTTGTTTAATTTTTTTCATAATACACACTTTCCAAATAAGGTTAATAACTGCTTGATGCTTAGTCACTAGACTGCCTTGTATAATCTCTGATCTTGAATTAGACATTCAAAGAAATGATTAAGTGTGATGAGTTAAAGCCATTATAAAATCTATTAAAATAGATATTAGGAAAAAATGCCCTACACTGTTATATTTCTCTCTCTTCTTAGTTTTTCCTCTTTAAAAATTATATAGGGCCGGGGCCGGGGATTTAGCTCAGTGGTTCCACCGCCTGCCTTGAAAGCACAAGGTCCTGAGTTCGATCCCCGGTACCAAAAAAAATAATTATATAAACCAACACTCACTAAAAACATGGTATCACACATGAAGCCAATCTAATACTAAGAATATAAAACTTGATGGTTCTGAATTTCAAAGTCACGATTCTCAACAGTTACATTAACCTAGCCATTTTACATATATACTAAGGCCATCAAATATAATAGTGTAGTGAATAATATAAAACACAATGGGAAGCTTAACTTCTGAATTTACTGATTTTCAAATTGTCAGCCCTAACCACTTCATTAAGGACATTTTTGGCCAAGGGGACCTTTACATTTTAACAGGTTATCAATGCAGGAACATGTAAGCCTAGCAATAGTATGAGAAGTACAAATGCATTTGAGAGATGGCTGTGAGAAATTAAACAAAAATTCACTTTCAGTCAGTGCAAACAACAAAGCCTCATTTCAGGGAAAAAGCCTTTTTTGTGCAAACAACAACAAAATGCCTGAAGATCTGAATTATTATCCAGCTAGGATCAAGTACACTCTGCCTGCCTAGACAAAGTTACTTACCAATTTTGGGGAAACTGGCTCTCCCTCAGCTCTCCAGCCCCCTACAACAGAAGGAGGGGAAAAAATGAAATTAGACCACAAATCTATGACCTGTTCATTAAAAGCTTAAGATTCAAAGATTTCTATCTAATTTTAAGAAAGAACTGAAACACAAGCCTCCAAATGTTAAAATGCAAAAAGAAAAAAGTTTTTATAGCAAAGAAAGAATGCAACAACAGTTAAATTTTGGTTTTATCAGTTTTTGAAGATAAGGAGAAGAAAGTTCAGTTGATGCTTGAACAATGGGGGGCGGCGAACAACTGGGGGTGTGGAGTACAATTCCCCACCAAAGTAAAAAATCAGAACATAACTTTTGGCTCCTCAAAAACTTATAGAGTCAATTAACACATTTTATACATTGTCTATAATGTACACAAATACAGTGAAATACAGGTGATAACTAAAGATAAGCAATTAATTGGAGACGAACTGTTCACACGGAGATGATTTGTGTCACGCAGGGTTTTCAGCAGATGCTCACAACACTTGAGCTCTCACACTGCACAGCAACAGGAGGTGCCTATGAGACTATCCCAAAAGTACAGTATGTACTACAGTTCATTTATGCAGGCATGGTTTGACACTGCATCTCTATGTGTGTTTACATTTCTCTTGATTGTAAATGGTTTCATGTTTTAACTAGATTTGTATATATTTAATAGTAACAAATGATAAAATAGTTATTTACATATATCTTACACATTTGTGACATTTTTCTAAAAATTTTTTCAGTACTTCTAGGATGTATTATTCAACTGTCAGTTTTTCAAATTGTTACAAATCTCAAAAAAAAAAGTATATATTTAATAGTAACAAATGATAAAATACTTATTTACATATATCTTACACATTTGTGACATTTTTCTAAAAATTTTTTCAGTACTTCTAGGATGTATTATTCAACTGTCAGTTTTTCAAATTGTTACAAATCTCAAAAAAAAAAAATCCACATGTAAGTGGACCTGGGCAGTTCAAACCCATGTGGTTTGAGGTTCAACTATAATCAATAGGGTTTTTTTTCTAAGAAATAAACAGAAATGATATACATCACATCTAAATAACATACAACTACATCCGCATTCCCCACAAATGACCTTTAACGTTTACTGCTTTATATCAACAAATCAAACTAGCATCATCAGTACAGTTTAGTCCACTTAAAAGATCATTTTTCAGTTAATCTTGAAATGCATTTGTCTTACATAGGCTTTAAAATTCACAGCATTATATAATGCATAAAATAATAGACATGTAGGTAAATATATAATCAAGTCAGAATTTTGAACTCTTCATTTACATTCTTTATTGATTTTGGTTTTTTGAGACAGGATCTCACTATGTTGTCCAGGCTGGCCTTGAACTCACAGTGATCCTCCTCCTCAGCCTACACACCCTACTTTCATTTATATTCTTAATAATACTGCACCACTTTAAATTGTAAACCACATACACAAAAGTAATTTTTTTTTCCCTCTATGCCACATGTCTAATTAGTGATAAAGCCAGAAAGAAAATCAAGGTTTTGGTGTCCCGAGCCAGTATCAGGGAATAAAAATTGGAATTTTGCCCCTAACATTTTAGCATTAAATTACTTAAACTCCACATGTCATGCTCCGTAAGTGTCTTCCTTATGCTTTAAACATAGTATGTTTGTTGACTGATTCCAATAATGTCTCATTTCCTCAGGGGATACTTCAAAAAATCTTCACATCATCCAGATTATAAATCTTTGTTTGTAGTCATATCAAACCTAAGAGTAAAATTAGTTAAAAGGCCCCCAACTCATCCAGTTAGCATTCATTTACAAAAAAATTCAATGGGCATGGTGGCACACACCTGTAATCTCAGCACTTGGGAGGCTAAAGCAGGAAGATCACCTGGGCTACATAGTGAATTCAAGGCTGGCCTAAACTACATAGCAAGACTCTGTTTCAAAAAATTTTTAAAAAGGCAAGAAAAATTCAATTTGCTATTCTATCCTGCCTTTTCTTTAGCATGAGTCTTTTTTAAAGTTGTTAGGTCCAACTAAATGATAATTTTAATCAACAAGATTAGAATGATTCCCAACTAAAAGAAAAATCACACAAAGTCTATAGTGATGCAATTATTCAAAGTAGATTCCTAACATTAGAGTTACCTATTGGATGCGGTATCTCTCAAAAGATCCTAAATAATACAAGGCACATAATAAATGTTTGTTAAATTAATGAACTGACTGAATGGACACTTAAGCTGTCTGTCTGAGGCTCCTTTTCTCTAGGAGGACTTTCCTTTTAGCTTTTTCGGGGTAGGGATAACTCACATGCATCTATCTCTCACAGCACTGTTTGTTACGTGAATGACTTTCTAAAACTATCTTTATCTGTATTGTTGACAAGGAAGTAAATTTTAGGTAAAGACTGATAAACTGGACTAAACTAAAATTAAGAATTTCTATCAATCCAAAACAAAACAAAACCACAACAAAAACTAGTGACAGTGAAAAAGCCACAGAATTGGAGATAATTATAATACATACAATCGACAAAAGCATATACCCAGAATTATAAATATGTACAAACTCAAAGTGATCAGGATAATATGGGATTTTAACTTCTATTTATATAGCATCTGAGAAAGTATGATCATATGGACTTTTCTCAAAAGTCACATTCAGTTTGGCAGCACAATGTATGGAGATACTTTACCTCCAGAGCATTATCTCCAAAATTCTATAGCACAGACACAGTCCTCAACTAATGAAGAGTTTTACCATGAAGCCACAATACCATGAAACTGCTCATAAAAGTGCTTATAGGGACTGGAGATGTCACATAGGAAAGGGGCGCCCTAGAAGTTAAGCGACTTTTTCAAAGGTTACTCAGCTTCCTTTGAAGCTGAGTTGGTGGTGAAGCTAGACGAGAGCTTACAGACCCTGAGGTTCCTCTGACTGAGCTCACTTTTCCACTACCCTTCACTTTCGCTTAAGTTGCAGCAGGAGTTACTCTTAGAAGAAACAAACTACAATAATCTCGGGGAAACACTTTTGGAAAAGTTTGCACTTTAATGTTTTAAAGAAAAATCACATAAGTCATCTCGGGCAGGTTTTAAAACCTGAAATTCTTTACCCCTAAGGGATACCCATGAGTGGGCTTCAGTGAGGTTTGTCACTGCAATGGTACTAAATTCTGTACATATGAGCCCATGTACAGTGTTCAAAGAGGGTCCACAGCTTTGATTAGATCTGCAAAAAAGATTCACATAGACCAAAAGAGTGAATTATTTCTAAGACTAGTAATTCTCTTCTTTTTTGAGGGGGGCAATACTGAGGATTGAACCCAGGGCCTTCACACTAAGCTAAATCCCCAGCCCTTTTCTTTTCCTTTTAATTTTTGAGACAGGGTCTCACCAAGTTTTTCAGGCAGGGCTCAAACATGCAATCCTCCTTCCTCAAACTTCTAGAGTGTTGGAACTAAGGACTAGTGATTCTCATACACTGTGCTTGAACCCCCAAAACGTTTCTTCTGAAGACTGATTAAATGGCTACACTTGGAAACTGATAAAAGAAGAAAAGCCAATATTTTATTTCTTAACTTAATAATGCTGAGTAGCAATAATACTTGATATACAAACTGTATCTAAGTCTAAAACACAAGTCTGATTTCTTCATGTTAAGCTGATTAGAACTCTACTTAATTTGTTTTTCACATACATCTCATACTTGTAATTAAGGTTGTTCAAAACTTTATTTGCTTAAAAATTTTAAGTGTAAATTTGTTCTTGAAAAATACACTCAGAAAAGTAAACTGTAGTAAATGAAATTATTTTTCTTTTAGAGCTGAATGTTTTTTGCTAACGTAACTTCACACCACTTTTTTGCAAATTGAAGACTTGTTCACCTCTCCAAAACTTCACAGGTAGCTACTTTAATTAGAGCTGGCAAAGAAATAAATCATTCAGTTTTCTGATATGGTTATGAAATTTGAGATATTATAAATAGGAATATTAATAATCACTTCTCATGTACTTTTTATAAAGTATCTAAAAGGTTGTATATAAAGAATCTATATTAAATAAACAAATTTTGCAAAGAAAAGGTTTAATACTAGATCATTTTAAATTAGGCTAAAATTTAATTCACCTCACTAAAAAATTCAAACGATTAAATTTATAGCCTGTGCTCAATCATAAATTTTGATAAGGGACTAGAATAGCACAGATAATTATCATTCAAAGATACTTTAAAATGTCACCTTACCCAGAAGATTCAATCTCCTCTCTTCCCCTACTATACTAAGCTGACAATAGTCCAATAGCTAAGTTTTATATACAATGCCTTTACTGCTTTTTATCTGTCGTAACTTCCAACAGAAAGTATTGTATAATACATCTGAAAACGCCAGTAAGTGGTCAGCGGAAAATGTAGGACCCCACTTAATGAGATTAAACCCTTTAGGCCCAAGAGCACAGCCATCCCTCGGTCCCCACCCCTCTGATGGACGTCCCTCTAGCACTTCTTCCTTTAACCTCAAGAACCATCTATTTCCCTCCTGTCATCACTAAATCGTTTTGTTCCTATCTTAAAAAATAAATGAGGACTGCTGCGCAAGCGCAAGGACCCGAGTTCGATCCCCGGTACCAAAAAATAAATAAATAAATAAATAAATAAATAAATAAAATAAATGAGGACTCACTCCAAGACAAACAACTCCTCTGACACCGGATCTTTCTCTGGCAATTATCCCGATGTTCCCACTTACCACAAAGCTCCTGGAAAGAGCCAACTACACTTTCCATCTCTTACTCTTCTCTAGTTCCATAGCCAGCCCATTCCACTAGGGCTTCTGCCTCCCTCCATTCCTGTCAAGACCACCAAGGACCACTTTCTGGCTAAAGTCACTTGGAAAGTCTCAGTCCTTGCTTCATTGTTCAGTCAGAATTTTATGATCTGTTCGACCCTTCTTTCCTATTTGAAACCCTTCCTTCTCTTGGCTCTCAGGACACCACCCTGATTTCCCCCATA